GTATATGCTTTCCAGTTTTGTTGCTCATTCTGCCGTTAGCATAGAAGCAGATGCTGCAGAGATATTTGAGTGTAAAGTGATTGCTTAAACCAGCTTGTGATCATGTTTCTCAGCTACTTGATCTTGTTCTTCAAATATGGGTTTATTTAGTCACTAATGTTTACCATGTTCAAAGGCTACTGTTAGTAATGTTTGGCAGACTTTCTGATTTTACTGGTCAAAACCCATCTTGACTGTTTAATTGCCTTACCTTCAACAAGAAAATTATCTGTTATCTAAATGACACGTGTGACACATAGGGCCACGCACACAAGGCGGTTATCTCGCTGGCTACTGTTGGGAGTCAGACTTCAAGAACCCAGTCCTGTGAAGTCCTCATCCACTGAGCCTTTGTGGGAACCCAGGGCAGTCAGTGTCTCATGCCATTGGCATGGGGAGGAAGGAATGAGCATTATGGAAGTTTTCTCGCAGGTTCTTCGCTCTTCTGTTCCAACTTGCATAAACCTTACTGTTACAATCCTGATTCTTTCTTGAGATCCTGCCAGTCGTTCCAGCTTCTGAGGTGATTGCGATGCTGGCAGGTATCCAGAAATAGAAACCAAGGCTTAAATTTCTGTTTAATGCTTTCTGAGAAAGAAAAAAAAATATTAAAAAAAAAACCAAAAACCAAAACCATTTTATGCAATTGACTGCTCAAGTCAACTGAACTGACTGTACAAAGTATCTTGGCAAACAAACAAAGGAGACAAATAGCTTAATGTAGCATTGCCGCATTCAAGCAATCTGGGCATTTTCCTGGCTTAACTGGTTAGGTTGTTTGCAGTTGCATGTAATTACTCAGGTTGTAGGAACTCATTTTGTCAGACACAGATGACTTTCTTAGTTCCTACAAAGAGAATGCAAAATGAGGAAAAGAAGAATTTAATAGACCTTTGTCATTGAGCTATTTGACACTGTATTGTTTGGTATGCTCTGATTTAGAGGTAGACAACTGGCGCTAATACCAGGGACCAAATAAAAGACAGACTGGATCGGAATGGTTTGTTCTGTACAGACAACTAATTTACATTCCAGAGACTGATAGCTGTTTACTTTACTTTTTGAGATGTAGGAGACCTGGCTGTTTCTTAGAACAGTTCTGGGTAGATGTAAGTCTTAAAGTAAAACTTAAAGGTTTTTTTTCAGTGAGACGGCTGCTATGCAAAGACAAGCTTCCTTGACAAGTCTTTTTCTGTTACTCTTTCATTTCTTTTCTCATCTCTGTTTTGGTTTAGGTTTTTTCCTGTGAGGTGTTAAATAGCACGTTACCTATTCTCTTACATTTATTTAGTTAACTAAGATTTCTTTTTCTAAAATTGCATAATTAGCGGGGGGTTGGTGGGGTTATTTGTTTGGGTTTGTTGTTGTTTTATGTTTTTTAACCTGGCAGCTGTAATTTGACAGAATGGTTTTGAATGGCTTTCAGTACAAGCACTTTTATGGACTATGGTAATCTTGCAGGCTAGCTATGAATTGGGCACTTTGGCAGGACTCCCAACTTACCTTTTAACCCCCCATCTGTACTTTAATGGGAGTCATGCTGCTGCTGGTTTAACCTCTTCCAAATTTCTTTTGAAACTTTGGTGCGCTTTGTATTTGTGATAATAAAAATCTACTAGTATTAAATTCCATTATTGTGTGAGTAATTAAGCTGATGTCCTCTGTGCCTCTGATAGGGTTTTGAAGAGGCTTATAGGCTTCACTCCTTTGTTTTGGCTTGATGAAGGGGTCCCAGATGTTCTTCTTCTGTCAAGTAGGATTATAGTTTGGTAAATGGTAAGAAAGTTATATTGACTTGTGCTTTTACAGGTAGGCTTAAAATTTCACCGTCGGTCTTTACAGGTAGTCAGAATTTAATATTTAGACTGTTTTTCTCTTTGCTTAGTTTGTTCATTCACTTTTTTCACTGTCAATGTATTTTTTTATTGCTAATTTCTATGTCTTATACAAATCTTCAAGGAAATAGAGACAATGGTGAGTATCCTGTCCTTCTCCATTATGTGGTAGCTTGCTGTTAGTGTTTTATTACTGTTGAGATTTCTCTTAGCTTAGGAGTTTCTTGGGTTACCGACTACATCTCTATTCAATTCCATGGCTAGCATATAGGTGTCATTATATGAAACTGAAACAATTTTAGGTCCTAACAGCTCCAGCGTGTCACCTGCCTGCACTGGGAAGTTACCACTTACCACTCCAAATTAAGGTGGATCCAGTTTTCTGAGCAGCATCTGGAATTTCATCAGTTCTTATCATAATTATTTGTATTATGACCTTCTTCCTAACAGTCTGTTGTGATGGTGGCTGGAAGTGGTTCCCAGATTACGTCAAATATAATTATATTTTGATTTCTTTATCTGAACATCTTGACTTTTTGAAATACAGCTTTTATTCTTCCTTAGCTTAGGAACGTCCAAGATAACACTGCATTTAGAAGGTTAAAAGCTACAGCCACAAGCTTATTTCCTTCTCCCATCTGCAAGAGCCTTATACTGTACTTGTACTTGATCACATTCCAGTTGATGATGTTATAGTCTTGTCTTCATGCAGGTCTTTTGATCGTAACACTTATAATTCACTGAAAGAGCAGTTTTGGGAAGGCACGTGATTCTTGGAGCGGGGAGCTTTATTTTGTTTATTTGACTTCTTTGGGGGGCACAGAGCTGTTGATGTCTGTTTGCCCTTGCATCATGTTGGATAATTCTTGGAAATCATTTTTCAGGGATAGGAGGAAGTGGTTATTTGAGGGGTTAAATGGTTAGATGTAGGGGATTATGTTGTAGCCAGCTGGATCCTGGGTTGTTTAGTAACTCATAAAAAGGATGACCTTAAGGAATGATAAAATACATAGTCTGCTCCAAGGGGCCTTACCTGGGTGACCAGCTGAGGACCTACAAGAGCAGCGTAACTGATCTGGAGATAGCAAAGTCTGGTGTAGGGCGTATTGGTTGCAACGAACACTTCTACTGCCAGTAGAAATATATTTCAGCTATATAAACGGTATCTGATAAAGCTAGTTGATGTGGGAGACAGTGGATTTACTGTTAGTGAGGTAAATCTGACCTTGTTTTGCCATGTCAGACTTCTTGTACATGCACAAACCACTTTGTAACATGTACCCAGCACAACTGATCTCTACATGCACAGTACGTCATCCAGTGCTTCCCAGAAGTGTCTGATTTACTGCACAGATGTATAATGAGTATGCAGACCTGGAGTAGCAAGTCCACTGTGTCCCAGAAATATGTGATTTTTATGCTGTCCTGTGTACATGCTTGAGAAATATCTGTTAGATACATGGGCCAGCATGATTGAAAATTTTGAACAAGTGTCAAAAGAAATTAAAAAAAAAAAAGAATCAAATCCACCTACTGAAATTAGGGTGATAGGGAGAAACGAACATTTCTGGGGAAATCCCAGCATACTGTAGCCTTGGACACGTCCATAAAAACTCTTGACATAATGCAGCCTTGGAAGGGTTGTTTAATTATTTAATGTGTGGGAATGCTTCCACCATGTTACAGTGTGTGCCTGTGGTTCTAAGGTCTGGGGGCTGTTAGGGAGACATTTCTCTGAAAAAAGTCCTCAGAGTAAGGTGAAGACTTTTCATCCCTCACACAGGTGGAATTTGTTGGCATAAAGGATTTTTGCAACAAAACCTGTATCTTTTTGTAGGCTTTTGGGGTGAAATGCGTTTACAGAGGCTGGCATGGGATTTTATTCCTCTATCTGATTTAGAACTTGCCTATACACCCTTTTTTCCTCATCAATTCCACCTATGGAAATTTCTCTAATTCTTCTCGGAAAAAAGTTCTGATCAGAAAGTGTCCACACAAAGTCACCTAAGGACATGTGTTCTGCTTTTGTTTCTCACCTCTGTATGCATTCATGTATACAATGCCTTCATTTATTACTCTGTAGTTTTTAATACATGGCAGAGGTACCTAAAGCCTAGACAGAAGTATAAAAATAAAATGGTCCATGCAATATAAGTGGGGGGTTTGCCTTTGGTTTATATTTGTTTTATTATTGATACATGATAAAATGTTTTTAATTGTGAGGCTTTATTCATGCAAGTGAGAGTTGTTTTATGCATTGACTTTCCAGATCCTTTTATAGTTTAGTCTAAGGCAAGTAGCAGGTAAGGTAAATGGTACCTAGCATCCATTGTGTTGGAACATGCAATAACCATCAATGGTATATTTAGAAAATGTGCAGAGGGCAAGACAGGAAAGGTTGATATCCCTTTCTCAACCTGTTTTTCACCTCACACAATTTAATAACCAAAGAATTGTGTATTTTTGACACAAAGACATTTGTACACATGGTCAGAGACAGCTGCTAAGATACGTTGTTCAACAATGAATGCAAAATATTCCTGTGAGATTATTTTTGAGCAGGTTTAAACTGCACAAAATAATCTTCCCAAAGAGGAGATCATTGTTTTTTATCCCTCTCATTGCAATCTGAGCTTTGAATTGCTAGTACACATTAAGAATCCAATTCAAAATAATCCAAGTTTGAAAGTACCTATTAATTCAACCCGTATGATAGAGCATGGGTAAATTGGTAATCCTTACTTTGTGCTAATGCAAAAATGGACAATGGCTTCATTAGACATTGTTGACCTATTTCACATAGACAGAATGTTAGATTTGTAGCAAACAAGACTGAGATTTTTTCCAAACATTTCTGATTCTGTCTTGAATACAGCTGTGCTTTCATGCAGCTAAAAGAGTAAAGGCGAGGTCTTGCAAAATGGTTGTCATTGCCTGCTTCCTTATTGCCTTTAACCAGGTCTATTTAGTGACTGCTACCAACTTTTCATGCACACGTGTGAAGGACAGTTTCTCTGTGGTGTTCGTGAAACCATCTATTTGTCATATTCTCTAGTTTATGATGAAATTCAAGAGCATATGATCAAAATCTGAGAGCTGATTTAATTTTGGGCCTTCTTATTTCAGGGACCTGAAACTGGACAATATTCTTCTGGACGCAGAAGGCCACTGTAAACTGGCTGACTTTGGGATGTGCAAAGAAGGGATTCTGAATGGAGTGACCACCACAACCTTTTGTGGCACACCTGACTATATAGCTCCAGAGGTATTTTTTTGAACTGCACTAAGAATACGGGTATTATTATTCATCAGACTGTTACATGTGTAATTTTAGACACTTTTTACATGTAGATGAAAACAATAGAAGATGCAGACGAGACTGTGCTGCAGTTTTTCCTGGGAATCTTGCAGAAATTGGTTACTCACTGCTCATAAGCAGTATTCCCTGTTGATAAGAGTGGCAAAGCATGCTTTTTCTGTTATTTGTTCCCTAAACTTAACTGTATTCTTCTCCATACGCTCATTTCTGACTCAGCATCATTGTGAAGGCACTTACTAGCCTTTAAGGTGCTAGATGCAACTAAGTAGTGCCAGCACTGGTCTTCGGTAGTTATAAAAATGTTTTCAATTTTTCGTGAGACTTAGAAGGGGATGTTCATACAGAAGAGACCGTACATTTGGTGTCATTTTGCCTAGTTTCTTTGTGGGAATATAATATTTTTCCTTTCTTTAAAGTATCTGTGAGTAAAAGATACTGTGTTTGTGGTACTTCTCATCATGTGGATGAACAGAAAGCAAAAACTTGCATAAAAATGTAGGATGCTTCTCATCATATGGATGCTGCATCTCAGTTGGCAACATCCAAAGTCATTTCAAGGCAATCACTGGATAAAAGAAATGACTGAGAATTGTGCTGGTTTTACATAGCCTAAATTTTAATATTATGAGATGCATTTCCAAGTGCCTAAAATAATCAATATTGTACAGTTAGGCTGCTAGACAAACTCTGCTCAGTTTAGTTAGTAACCTGTGCATCTTTCCACTGAAGATTCAGTGTGCTGATTTAATGTAGAAGTTTCATTGGTTTGTCTTTCATCAACCAGAAATTTGCAGCAGGGAAAAATGTTAGTTTATTATTTGTTAGAGACAATAAGTTAGAAATCCATATTGTTAGCATTCATGGCTGTCAAGCTTTGGTAGCACAGCTGATAAGGTGTGAATCATCTTGAAACTATCATAATATAAATGTGTGGCTTACGGAGTTTAAAAAGTATTCTGGCGTTAAAAGAAAATGAATACCAGTGTGAGGGTTTTAGTTTTGTATGAATTCTTTTCTGATTCAGTATACTAATTGAGTCCTTTGGCAAATTCTTTGAAAATTGTTACTGAAAACAAAGCAATAATAAGATCCCAGGATCTTTTACATGAAATCTTGGTCTCACTGAAGTCAGTAACTCAGGCTTCTGTTTCGTTATCTTAATTGCAGAAGTTTATCTCCTGCTTCTATTTCTCTTGCATCATGGTGCTGTTTCAATTTCCTTTTTAGCAATATCTGAGTTCCAAAGAAACTGTGTTCAGTGCCCAGAACACTTGAAAAGTACACTTTTGAAGAGTATCATTTTCTGTAGTTAATGTCTATAAAATGTAATATCCATTCAACTAAGAATCCAGTTGGGATCCAGACCTCTGTATTCAAACATTAAACTCATTTCAGTTTTTATGTTAAGACTGAATTTGGTTTTATATTGGTCGTGACTCCCAAATACAACACTAAGCTCACACGGTTCTCCACAAGGCTTCTGACTGTAACACTAGTGTTGTTTAAGGAGGTGGTGGAGTTCTTGCCATTCCAACTCATTTTAAGGCAGTCAGCTTCACTTTAAACAGTAACCCGCTCTACTTTCCCCTGTCCCCTTGTCATGCTGAAGCATTGCAGCTAAGCTTCAAGCTTCTTTTCAGTGGAGAGGAGCCAAGAATTAAACTTGTTCCTTGTACGACACTAGTTCTGTAACACCAAGTACAATACAATAAAACTCCATCATGCTAACCTACTACTTCCCACTAAAGGTACTTGCTACAAGGTTGAATTTGTGCCACGTGAAAAGTTGTAGCCCGGTTTTCTGAAAGCAGAGGCAATGAAAGCGAGTCCTACAGCCGTGTATTGTACAGTGTTTTAATGCTGTAAAAAGAGCTTGAACAAAATGCTTTTGGCTTCCTTCAGCCCTACCTAAAGGACTAGAATAAATCTCTCAGATGATTGCAGCATTACAAGCTGCTTCAGTTTGTTTTGTTCAAGATAGAGACAAGGAAATGTTTCACATTTTCCACCAATCTGTTTTGTATATGTGATCTTTTCTCCCCTATAGCGTGACCTGCTTTAAACAGTTTGGAAGGATATACAGCTCTTTTGCTCACGAGCATACTCTTTTACTCAGGGGACTGATAAACTCAGTCAGTACTTCTCCGAACAACTACGCACTGACACTTAGCTGTGTTAGTGCAAATTGCATGTGTAACAAACCATGCCTGCTGTTACCAAAATCAGTGTGGGATTTAGTCCTACTCTGGCACTGGGGGAAAGAAGGGGATGTATCATGTTGAAACAGCAAATGTGCGGCTGAGAGCGTTGTCTAACTTGTCTGTTCAATCCAATCTCTTTTTCTATACTAGATCCTCCAGGAGTTAGAATACGGCCCGTCAGTAGACTGGTGGGCTCTGGGAGTTCTCATGTATGAAATGATGGCTGGGCAACCCCCTTTTGAAGCTGACAATGAAGACGATCTCTTTGAGTCCATCCTTCACGATGATGTCTTGTATCCAGTCTGGCTCAGTAAAGAAGCCGTCAGCATTTTAAAAGCAGTGAGTCTTCCATTACTCACTTTCCTCCTCCTCTTTGTGGGGTTTTTTGGGATTGTTTTTTGGGTTTTTTTTTCCTTGATTAAAATTGAATTTGCTGAAAGTTGTTGAGAGCAGTCACCGCTGGGAGTTCAAGCACAGTTCAGAGTGCCACTGTTAGGATAATGGGGCCTGGGATAAATTACACTGCTTGTGGGAAAGGAACAGAATGTTTGTATTCCACGCAGTTGTACACTGTATAATTCTGTGTACTGCAGATTCATGTTTCAGGGAAAACCCAACCAACTAGAACTGTGCTATCACTTTGACACTTTATATGCCACATGTTCACTAGAGTAGGGGAAGCACTACGTAATTAAAGAAACAATGTTTTTATTTAACGCACTTATAAAATTTCCTGTCCCTCTGCTTTTCTTCCCCTATCATGAAGATGGGTTGAAAGCCCTTTATTTACAGCTGTATGTTCTATTTTGTAGTTCACATAACACTTTGATAAGCAGTCTTACTCTAGTGTAATTGTTTCTGTCCTGGTTGGTGTTTTTCAATACGAGTAGTGACTTGACAGAACTGTGTTACCAAATGCCACAATTTTTTTAATCAGTCAAAATGTGCCACTGGGCAACTTCAGTTTTTAGACTACCTTTCTAAAGTCAGGTTTACTTCATGAATGTGACACTGACATAAGTTCTTTCTTCTGTGCTAGTGTCATCCTAAAATAAAAAGCAAAACAAAACAGAAGCAGTATGTCAATCCCCATAGTTTGAAAACCTGAGGAGGATTTCTGGCTTAAAAAAATAACTTGTTTTTTATTCCAGTTTTCCACCTTCTTTGAAAGTGGAAAATTTCTGCCTTTCCAATTCTATTTTTCTTTCAGCATCTGGAATAAGGGAGACTTTCAGTTAAAAGGGCAGCTGGTACTGTAAAGTCCTGCAGAGATCTTTATACAGGGTTACATTTTGAACTTACATATGAAACTTGAGCAAATTCTGATTTTAACACCGGTGGACAGGTAACACATTCTGCAACAATGCTCATCTTGATCTTTTAATAAAAAAAGGCTCATTCTAGCTGAGAGAGAGAGAGGTGCTCTAGCAGATGATTCAAAGCAGAAGTCTAAGTTAACCTCCCTGAATTGTTTGCTGGAGTATCTCTTTTGCTCCATTCACTGTAGTGAGAACATGGAGGATTTATTAAAGCTGACCTTTATACATACTCTCCCTTTTTCCCTCCAGATGCCTCTCTGGGTATCTGACATGATACCTTCATGCATCCGTTTTTGTTCCTAGACCTTTCAATTATTTTCAGTTCAGCAATTAAAATGTATGGGCATTCAGGCTGATATCCAGGGTTCAGGGGTTATTTTCACGTATTGTAGAGAAAGGGTTGTTGTCAGTGTTCATATCTGCATCTGAATTTCACTGAAGTCCAGGAGATTTTCTGTAGTGTTTTGGTTTCACAGTCTGTAAGATGTGTTCCTTTGCCATCCACAGGCTCCTTCAGTGAATCTATGTTAACTGACCTTTCTATTATTCTGAATCACAGAAACATTTGTTGGAGGGGAAAAGTTAACCGATAACTCTTGGATAAGTGTGTAGTACAAGAGCCATTGTAACTATTAGGAGAAGGTGTTTGTTTTACAGAGGAAAAGGAGAAACAGATTTGACGGTCAGAGCCTTACTGTTATCTCATCTGTGCTGCACGTAGTGAGATGTCTAACTGTTAATGTTATACGCGTCATTCATTAACCATACACAAGTGCAGACACAGAATTGGGCTGCAGGTGTAAACTATGTGTTTTTGTGAGTGTAAGTGCAAGTGTGTTAAACCCTCTAATTTCTTTTAAAGCTGACTTTGCTATAAATTTTCATGAGGCTGTTTTCCTGGGTCAACATTTTGTTAAGTAGGCATGGTGGTTTGTATTTTGCTGTGGGTGTAGTATTTCTTGTTTACATCTTTCTGTCTGAAGTTAATCCTTAATGCCATTATAAACCTTAAAAAGAGAGTTGCATCCATTAAATAGATTTGTACTATAATAATAGATTATTCCTCATTGGGCAAGATATCTTCATTGGCATAAATTGATAGAATTTAATGGAGCTGTGCCAGTTTACACCATAAAAAGAAAATATTTGCTTACATTTAGCAACCTGCTGTCTGTGCAGCTATGGTGTGAAAAAGGTTTGAAACTTCTGTTCTTCATCTGATCCTTGTCCACATTCTGTTAAATGAAGAACAGGAAAAACAGAGGAAAGAAAGAGGTGTCTATGTATTTTACTGCTGAATGGTAGCAAGGGATTAACTTTGGAACACTTCATTTCCTCACATTGTGCTCTGAGACATGGGTTTTATACTTTAGAAACTGTATTTTTACACTCCTCCAAACAGCATGTAAGGAAAGTTTAATAAGACATTCTCTTGTATTAAATAACAATGTTTTCTTATTTTCTGAAGAAAGAGTTTTCCTGTTATTTCCAACAAAACACTAAGGAGGATAATTTTACAGCTGAGTATTACAAGGCAGCACATTGCTTATCCCATGAAATCCCACAGATCTTATTAGTTCTGTTTCTGTGAATTGACAGGAATTGCTATTTAAAATTCTTTCCTGTCTGGTAAGGAAAACAATTCTTCATTGAAATTAGCTCTGTACTTCTTTGCAAGCAATGGAGAGAGGTTGTGTCTACGGTGTGTGTTCACCGTGTACCCAGATGACAGAGATCTCTGGGTGCAGAAGCAGCACTCTGGTTTTAAGCTGTGCCATTTATTTCAAGAAGCAAAATTTTGGGAGCCCGATGATCCTTGATTCGGGCCCCAAGTTGTATGGCTATCTCAGCAACATTTTGTCCTGTTGTCATTTAAGTCAGTAGGAACTCTGATCTTAAAAAGCTTCTCTTTTCATAAAAGGAGGTTTCTGCCTTAATACGGGAAAATAAAAAGGCAACGCTTACGGCTATGGCTGTCAGCTCCATTGGCAACCATCTCATCAACACAGTACAGTTAACAGCTGTCTCTGCCCTGACAGTTCCATTGTTGATGCTGTTGATAAACAGGGAATAAATGTCAGCTTGTGCTTCAGAAATAGAAGGTGAAAAAATCAATATTTATTGCAGGGGATGAAATTTTTAGAATTAAATGTCCACTTCAGAAGCTTGGGATTATTCCATCATATTTGCATATGATTTTTTTGTTTGTTTAAGTATTCATTCTTAAAATTTGTTCTCCCTTGTCATCCATTTCCAAGTTTCATGAAATCTGTGAAGTACAGTGCTAAACTGTACTATCTAGTCATATGTTCGTGTCCTGGGCTTCTTAAAAATGACATGTTTTGATGTTTTCCCTGCCTCTGGCTTAGAACAAAGATAGAGCATGGCAGATACTAGGATCAGATTTTACTTCTTTGATACCTGGATTATACGGTACAAAAAGCATATCCTGTAGTTTTCCATGTTCTGTTTCTGCAAAATGTGTGGCTGCTAGTTCCTGGCCTGCTCGCACCAGTCCTGGAGGTGAAATAAAACAGAGGAATGTAGGAATGCATTTTGTGGTTTTCCAAGAGACCTCACCAAAGCACAGTAATCCTTTCAAAACCTTTGTTTCTCCTGCCCATAGAAAATATGGCCTGTAGTTTAGATATGACTTGTCCACTTGCAAAAGAACTTGTGAAGCAGTTGAACACACGACCAAAGAGAAGGATCGTCTTCAGAGTGGCACGAAACCACTGTGTCAGAAACCACAGAGAGAATTGCCTCACTGATCTGTTATATCTTTAAAATGATAGCAATGGTATTCACCTGTGGATGGTTGATCTAGCTATCTAAAACCACCTTAAGGGCTTCAGGAGCTACTTATCTAATAACTGGAGTACTAGAGCAAGGGTATGCATTATAGTGATTTATTTTTGTAAGTTTTCTTTTTTCTACAGATGTATAGTAAAATGTGGTACCTAGCTTAAAAAGTCACTGAACAATTACCGCACTTTGTTTCATTTGTACACTTTTTTTTAAATTAAAAAATGTTATAATAATGGCTGAATATGAAGTTATAGCAAAGCTTGGGATAATTTGATGATATGAGTGTGTGTGTGTGTGTATAAAACCAGCATTCATTGCTACTTGAGTTGCAAGGATTCTGTGTCTGCATGCTTTAGGAAATAAATAGAGCAATTGCTAATAAAAGAAGGAAGAGATAACAGAGCAAAAACAGAGAAAAAAAAATATCAGATGCCGTCATTTGATAACAGTGTCTTAGACCAGTTGTACAGCTTTTTGCTGAAAGGAATAGTAGGAGTTTAAAAGTGAGAAGTTTACAAATTAATACAGCAGAGGAGACCGGTTAGTTCCAGTTGCTGCTGCTAAAAGTGTACTAAAGATGAAAGGGAAGGTGCAAGTAATGTCGTGGAGTTCCTCAAGGGAAGCTTTCTGCTGGTACTGATCACTCCATGTATTTCCTGAAACGTATGGACAGAACGCTTATAATTCACGTAGCTGCAGGTGCTGTTCTTACTTGTGTTAGAATAAAATCCTAGAAATTAGTAAGGAGGTTATGGCTTTTCATGTGTCTGCTTGAATAGAGTGTATGATTATGCAACCTGTGTACCCAAAGACATTTTGGAGTCTCTGAATCTTCTAGTTGAGCTAGAACCTCTGAAATTTGGAAGGGCATCCTTGTCACTCTTACAGAAAAAATAACCTTCTGAAAGGGGACTGTCCCTAAAAACCGGGCATTAAGAATTGGAATGCATAATTGAACGGCAAATGGTTTCCAGCCATTGCCATTTATGTTGTAACTTTTTTCTTCTCTCCCTCCCCCATCCTGTAGTTCATGACAAAAAACCCAAATAAGCGACTTGGCTGTGTGGCGTCACAAAACGGGGAAGACGCGATTAAGCAGCATCCGTTTTTCAAGGAAATTGACTGGGTTCTTCTAGAACAAAGGAAAATCAAGCCACCCTTCAAACCTCGGATTGTAAGTAGCAGTTTGCATAACATTCAGAGGAAACTTGGTTTGACAGTTCTAGTTGCTGGCTTTTCTGAGACATGAGATTACTTGATGCAACATTTGGGGGTTGAAATAGTAACATAAAAACCACGCTGAAAAGATTGCCTTGTCGTTGTTTCTGTGAAGGTAAGTGTCAGGAACAGATTGAATGCACAGGAGGATGTTCATGTTCAGTCACACAAACCATGAGAGGGTCAAGGCCCTATTTTAATTATTTTCCTGTGTTCTTAAAGATACCTTGATTGGAAGAGATTATTTCAGTTGCGTATATACTGTCTGTACTTTCTGTGTGAACGCTGCTACAGTCCTGCGTTGCTGATGGCCGCTGGATTTTGTAGTGAAAGATGGAGGAAAGGATTTCTGATTAATAATATTTTAACTGAAGATGCTTGAACAAACAGCTTCCTGGGGGAAAGAAATATACATCATGATTAGACAAACTGATGTACTTACCTTTTCCTAGGTAATAATCAAGTATTTCTATTTCAAAGTAACAAAAACATGTAGCAGCCCCACATGCAAAAAGTACAAAAGCCAAGTGAAAATACTTTACTTATTCTTGTCTTCCTCTGGATGAGAATATTTACAGTTCACCAAATGTCAGCTTTTCAGCTGAGAATGTGTGCAGCAAATTTTGTGCTTGAACAGTACAAGAGAATAATTTTATGATAAATCCTTTGAGATCGATTTGCATCTTTTGACTTTGCACGTTCCTAGTTACAATGTTTGATTTGCCTGTAAATACGATCGGGGTACTTGTTTGTTTTTTCCCTTTAGATAGTTTACAAAGGCATTTTAAAAAAAAAACAAAACAAAACTTTGGGCTCAACACTGAATCCTAACTTAAATTTAGAGGTGAAAAAGTCCCCTCTGGTGTTGCAGAATTGCTGTCGCATTTAGTGCATTTACTTTTAGTCCAGTGAGATGCATTTCCCCAAGTTCCTTGTGTAGGCAGTGAAAGAGGGGCTGCCCATCCAGAACAGGAGCCTGTGGTAGCTCCTCTGAGTCCACTCTTGGAGAGGTCTCTCTCTCTCTGTAGCTATGCAGAAAGAGCCCAAAGGGATGGACAACTGTAAGTGAAAGTTAGCCCTTGTGAATGTCTTTCTAGGAGTAATAGTAAGATATAGTGTTATCGTATGGGGAAGTTTTTCTTAATATATTTCTTGGGGAATGAAAACCTTGTAATGCAGTAGCTACAGGCAGAGGGACGCCTGAGCCAGCCCCTCTCCTGGAAGGGGTCCAGCCAGCTGGGCATGCCGGCTCTCTTAGCCTGCTGCCCAGCTCTGCTCGGGACGTGTGGCCAGGTTGCACCTAGTGCCTGAGCTGACTTACAAATCTCTGCATTGATGCAGGAAGTGTAAACCCCAAATTAACCCTGCTAGTATCTATCTGAAGCCTATTTCATGCTGTAACCAACTGCTTTCCAGCCAGGTTCCACAGCCCTCGGATAGCTGCAGACAGCCTTAGTTGGTGTTTAGCCAAGTTGCGTGTGTGTAGCTCTTTTCCCATTTTCACAAGAATTTGGCCTTTCATCTCACAGTAATTTTTGTTGCTTTGCTCAGTGTTCGTCAGCGTTTTGGTAATACAGTTACCTAATCAGGATGCACAGTTCCAAAATAATTTTTGCTTTATGCCTGCACCTGGCAAGTCCCAGATTCCTCACATCTAGTCTGTTTATTGGCTGTTTTCTTTTCATGATCAAGATGCACAATCCCTTTGACAATAGGTATTTTTACAAGACCTTTATTATTTTTGTGACTATTTCTGCTGCAGCGGTCCTTAAAAGTCAGGAGGGAATTAGTATGTCAGACATTTTTATTCATTGCTGATATAAATACCTTCTACCTTCCCAGTGCAGCTTCTTTCTCTTTCTGGTAATTATTTCACTGCTCTTGTATTGTAAAGTCATTCCTATTTTATTTATTCCTGTTGTTTTGTTCATTTCTCCTTTTCTGCTTCCTTTAATGGTATTTTAGTTGGATATTTCAGTTTTAGTAGTGATTTCAGATTATTTCAGAGTAGTCCTTTGTATAAGACAGCTGCTTGCTCTTTAATAATTGTTACCGAGATTTTATACATCTTTATTCACACCTTTTCTCATTTTTCTTCAGGCTGCTTCTATAATGTTGGATTTTCATACTAGTTCTTTCCATATTGTATATGCCAACTTTCTTTATTCTACCAGATTTGATTCCTGTAGTCTAGTAGTTCTGTATGCTTGTTTTTTTCTGAACTCTTTTTTTACGGTGGTGAATTCAGATAATATGTAGTCTATGTTACAGACTTCCCTATTATTTTCATGTTCTCAGTCTGCTCTCTCTAAGATACCTTCCCCAGTGACCTGGTCCTATCAGCTTTTACTGATAATTTCTCTACACTTAGAAAGGGTATACCTTATGTATTTGCACTGTGTTTATGATCCATCAGCTGTTTTCTACCAGCTGTATAAATTTTACAATTGTTTGGATTTTGGTGTTGTGTTAGAAATCTTTGAGCAAGCTCATACTGAAATTTTTACTTGTCCTCCTAAAATTGAACAATTTATTAGTTGGGAAGTAAAGTTTGCTATATATCTAGTCTGGAGAGAAAGATCACACAAATAAAATCTAATTATTAATTATACAACTTCAGAAATAGTAAAGGAACCTAGGGCAGTAAATTTTAAATGCTGAAAAGGTGATTTTGGATACTTGCCAAGCTAGAAGAGATAGTGCACTTTGAAAAATACAGGAAAGAGGGAGGAAGGTGAATACTAATGAAATGAAGTCTACTTTAAAATCTAGATGGAGAGTTCCTCTCTAAATTCAGTTGTGGGTGTAGCATTGAGATTCATTGATTCAGATTAACAAACATAACTCTTCCATAGCTATGGAATAACTATGGAAAAAACCATAACTAATGCCTGTGTTTGGAATGTTTTCTGGTTTTTAACATCTTTCAGTATTGATAAAGGGCTGTTGATTATTTAAAAGTGACTTGTGATGTTGAAAGGAGATCAAAAAAATATATTTTTAATCTTATGTTCAGGAGAGCCTAGATCTGTGAAAATAGCTATAAGAAGAGAGGCCAGATTACTAGTCAGAAAATAGACGTTCTTGCATGTGGTATGTGAGTGTACATATGTGTAGGATACAATGCATATATAGTCATTTGTGCATTCAAATTGAGTTTTGCATGCACATACAAAATTTGGCTCATGCAAGAATGCGTATAGTTACCCAGGTGTTCATCTATTTTCTGACCAACTGTTAAGATGACTAAGGGGGGAAATTTTATAATTATTATATCATAGACACTTTCAAAAAACCACAAAACATAGGGTCTATTCAAATGAGCTCTGGGCAATATAAAACACTGACACTAAACAAGTAAAGTCAAACTTCAGGGAAAATGGTCAAACACTGAGGTCCCATCAGAAAATGGAATAATCTGCCAAGGGAGGTCACAGAGGTGCTAGCGCGGAAACAAACCTTGCTTCATTTCTGCCTCACTACTACACTGATCCCAAAAACACGTGAATTCCTTGGCACAGCCATCTTCCTTTTCTGTTACCTTTTATCCTTTGTCTGCCATAATAGATTTGCTGAGGAGCTATATTACATGGTGCTGTAAGACCTGTGCTTCTCCATAGTTCAGGTGCGTCTCTTCAGCTCTGCCAGCCTTAAGTCTGAATTTCTCACTGCACTTGGAAGAAACACTGCATGGCTACTTATTAGCCACACTTTTGAGGTTTTTTTTTTTTTTAAATCTTATTCATGCCGTGAATGTATGCAATTGTATTCCTTATTATACCAGAAATATGCCATTAGTGTCTTTCTAGTTTGTACATGATTGGATTATTCTAATGATGTTTTGGAAGCCGAAATTTCTTTCCTGTTTTCAGACTTGGAATGAAAATTACCGAAGTCCAAAAGGTCCTTGAAAAACTGACTATGTTTTCTGAAAGCTTGCAAGAGTGCCCTGAGCAGAGCAGTCATACAAATGGCTGAGGCTTAAATTGCTAAGCAGTGCCAGGAGTGCCACACAAGGATGTGCTAGGAAGAGACAATGGAAGCAAATTTGGTGGCCCTGAAACCTGCTGTGAAGGATCTTTGGCTGTTCCTCCAGCTTAATGACTTGGAATAGAGAATATGAGGGGGTGAAAATGCACTGGGGCTCAGTCCTATCATGCATATTATCTACCAGCCATTCCCTTCATAAATCGAGACTTGTGAGGCTTTTCAGTGGCAAAATTAATTTTTTTATATATATACTATGGTTTACTATACTTGAGGGTTTCTCTTATGTAGAGCTATTATAAATGTTAAGCCGCTAAAGAAAAAGTAATAGCTCTGGGGCATGTACATTGGAAATCAAGCAAACTTTTGAACAGCTATGAAGAGGACATTTGTTACATCTAAGCTCAAGTGACCTCAACAGTGTCTCTTGAAGATCATTTCCTCTGTTCTTAAAAGCTAATTCTTAGAGTTTCACAGACTGTCTTGAAATTTTCTGAATAATGTTATTCTTCCCTGCTGCTTTTAATGCAAGCATGAATATGTAATTGCACATGCAAGAAATAAGTACAGTTTTGGTGCAGACAGATACCTTTTCTCCAGAGCAACTGTGTGACACAGAAGTCCCTTTGAGGCACTTTATTCCTATGTTGAGATATTTTGTCTCATGTATTCTTCCTGGAGTTTTATTCCATTTGGAGAATGAAATTTCCCTAATCAGTAGCTGTAACACCAGGCTATGGTTTGCAACATAATTTATTGCCCAAGAACCACAAATGCCTTGATATAGTATTCAATGATTCTCTGCTCTCCATCTTTCTTTGTTTCCATGGTTATGCTCCTGGCTTCGCTGAATTGGTTATTTCCATTTTCAAAGTGCATTTGCCATAATACAAATGAAACCAGGGTGCAGTAGGTTAACTTCTTACTGAAGTCATTGATGCGGTGGTAAGTGTGGTAGATCTTGCTTAG